TACATACATACATACATACATACATACATACATACATACATACATACATATATACATACATACATACACACATGCATACGTAATGGATACCCATACACATGAATTCATACATACATGCATAGATGCATGCATGCATATATATATCCGATTGTCGTTTAGAGCCCCTTTAGATCAATTAATCTCACCCAAGTAAAATATTCAAACATTCGCTAAAATTCTAGAAAAGTGAGAAATTTTACTTTTACAAGTAGGCTTTAGAGACTAATATAAAATCCTAAACAAGGGCTGTATTCACCCTATCTTGTTCAGAGTGATTAAACACATGTAGTTAATTATTAAACAATGGTATGAGTAGACCTTAAGTTTTCTATGCATTTCACATAGTCTTGCTTCTCAAAATGTATTCTCATCCAGGCTGGAGTGGACTGCAGTTTCGACCTCGCTTATGTCTCATCAGCAGCCCCAGTCTGACTCAAAACTGAATACCACAGCGTATAGTCTCGGCAGGTTAACCACTACGTCATGCTACCATGAGTGCTTTTGGGTCACAGGACATAAGTGAAATTTACTGAAGCCTAGACCTTTCTCCCATCACATTCTGTAGTTGGATTTTCGACGAAGCAAAGCTGTGTTTGTTATAGTAATAGACGGCATTGTTTTATTTTTAGTTTATAAATAGGTTTTTGAAATTACCCATAGATCAGATAAAATAGCGGTTAGCCTGCCTAGCTTATACGCTGAACTATTCGAGTTAGAGTCCATCTGGTTTTGCTGATGATACCTAAGTGAGGTCGAAGCTACATTCAACTCAACTTGAATGGGAATACCTTATGGGCAGCAAAGCTATGTGAAAGTCAATGGAAACATAAGGCTTACTCCTAGCTTCGTAGGAAAATTTAACTAGCAATCCATCAGCACCTTAACGAACAGGCTCTTATATGGGTCCATTCTTTCTCTGATCATTATTTCGAATACGAAATCCAAGCCTGTCTTATTCAGCCATTGCGATACACTCGATCGTATCAGGGAACGAGAAGAGAGAGAAGACAGAAACTTTCTCAAAGCGGCTAATGCTGAGAGTGTGCGTTTGAGCAAGCGTGAAGCACACATCTAAAGATCTGATAACGATAAAGTTTGCTCGGGCGAATCCCGACTCCTTCACACTGCTTCAGCATCTGATAAAGCTGCTTCATTCCAACAATTGTCCCACCTCTTTTGTCTATTTTCTTCATTTGTCCCCTCCTCACAAGCTTTCCCAACCTCTCTACTCCTCACAGCCAAGCCACAAATCCAATCTGTCTCTCTCTTCTTTTGGATCTTCCTGCTCTCTCTGCTACACCCTGTTAATCAAACCCCGCCTACTTCTTCTGTCTCTCCGTCACATACTCACTTGCTCCGTCTCTCTCTCTCTCTATCTCTTTTTCTTTCATCCTTTATTTCATGCGCGTTTTTATTCCCTTAATTCCACACCGCCAATTACCTCTTGCCCGGTTTTGTCTAAGTTCATTTTTCACCTCAAAGCAGGTGCGTCATTGAAACGCAGCTGCTATCACTTTTCTTTTACAAGAACTTTTTAATTTTGTCGCAAACCTTCGGACAATTTCACTTTTCCTGCCTCGCTAACAACCCTCGAAAACAAACCACACCTGCCTAAATATATGCCTCCCTTTCCCCGGCTTGACATGACTCCGTCCATCTTTGCCAGAATAGATGTTCTGAGCTTGGATTCAGCCAACTTTCCCCGGTAAGATCCATCACTCAATTGGTTCTACCGACAGGAGAGCATCTGCACTCAGCCTTGATTGACGCTCTTGTCCCATTTCTTCGATAGTTAACTATTCGGTACTCGATAGTCACTTGAGCCTTGCAATAGTCACCATTTCGGTCATCCTCCTTCTCCTGATCTTCATCATCACAAACGTCACTAGCATCAGCAATATCAGGACATCCTCATCTTCATTAATCTCTCTAGCCTTCTCTGATTGTTCCAC